GTCACATCCCACTGCGTTTACCAATTTAAATGTGTGTCTGGTCACACATACATAGGGAGGAGCAATCGTGATCTGAAAATTAGGGTGGGTGAACATGTACCAAAATGGTTGCAAAAACAAATACAGTCGAATGACCCAATAAGAGTAGAGGATAAACATCCATCATCCTCTGTTGCTAAACATATAATCGAAACAGGTCATAAGATTGATCTTAACTCAGCTTTTGTTGTGTTGTTTAAAAGTGTAAAAGGGCGTATACTGAGGTTTATTGAAGCCTTAGCCATACGAAAATTCAAACCCCCTTTGTGTATTCAAAAACAGTTTGTTCTCTCTTTAAACCTACCCTGGTAATAAATGCTTATTATCCAGAGTGATTAGGTGTCAAGTTGTTTTCACATTATTTTATTTTATCATTATTATCCTTGTCTATTTCTTAACCTTATTACCAGTCTAGTTGACCTTTTATTTTTATATATAAATGTTCTTAACAAGTATATGTGTGATCAGATTGTTCGAAATGTATTGCGCTAATATATCACATAGTTCTGATAATCTCCGTCTTCTTATTACATTATCGAAATTTATCAAAGGGACTAATTGCTTTATAAGTTGGGAGTCATACTTCCGATACTAGGAACTTATATTCTCGATATGCAACTGTTGTATCCCCTGGCGAATTATGAATCATAAATCTGATGTCCATTTATGGACAAATGTAATACGCCTATTCCTATTGGATAGTTGTTAAATGAGTAACCTAAATCTGAGGTCTATTTATGGACAAATACAATATGCCCATTCCCTATTGGATAGTCGTTAAATAAGTGACCTAATCGTTCCGTGTTCCTCTTATCATAACCTTTATTTTGACCTTGGAACTATTATTATTGATTACTTTCCCCCTAGCTACAGCCACATTGGCCAATTACTGTACAAATGTTATTTTTCTATTTTTTGGTATAATTGGGTCTGTTTGGTTAGTATATATAACCCAGTGTGCTTGTGAATAATGATTCATATTTCCGAGGCTGTTATTTGTGTTCTGGACTCAACTGGCTGGGCTAGGCAGTCAGGAAGGACCGAATAGCAATCAAGACTGCTCGTACGTATTTTCTGTATCATTGCACGTTTCATATACAATAACGATTGTTATACGAGTCATAACAGCAACTGATGTCCATTTATCTCATTGGTACGCAACAATCGTCGTCCCCTACTTTTTCAACAACAACCTAAATCGAACTTCAGCAATTTTTGTTTCACGATGATCCCCACTTTAATGTCTATGCACAAATCAAGCTTTCGATGCATCATTTCCAGCCGATTAGTAATGATTATGTTCATTTTACCTATTCATTCACGAGTATAAGTGAATGCTGCATCGTCCACTAGCCATAATTTGTAATTAAAACAATATCTTATGTTGTACACAAGCTGACTCTTCAGAATCGTTTTATCTTCACTATGTATATATGACTCATACATATTGATATTTGATTATCCTTTGCACCTAATTGAGACTTTCATAGCATCGCCCCAAACCATTACTGCATAAACACTTATTCTACCACCATATCTTAATGCAGTAATAAGTTGTATTCTTATTTACTTATTTATAATCCTTTTTAGTCTTTTCTTTTTGTTATTCATTCGGCGACACACAAATAGTCGTTTATTCTCGTTCTGTGTTCACAAACATGCTTATTAAATTATTTACATATTTCGCGTTTCCTGCATTTCTATTTCCTTATTTTCTCCCTTTCCTTCCTCGAAATCAACTCGATATTTTCCTCAAATACAGAACCTCATTTATTATTATTTTGTTATCACTACTAAGTTTTTTTCTTTTTCCTTTCTTCCTTTGTATTCAAACTTTATGCTAACATTATTGAAACGTGTGTATTATTGAATTTCTTTAGAAACCCGAAGTGGTTTCTTCATAACACTTATGTACCCACAAGATGTTTGTGAACATTAACGATAAAGTAGCTGTCTAGTCTGTCTTATAGTTATGGTTATTCGAAATTGCTTGATTTGACTTGGTCCTTCGGATAAAACTACGTTTTCCGGAAACAGCTACGATTCTTGACATGTAACTATACATTGCTGTTATTAACCCTTTCTTTACTAGTTATTTTAAAGTTTTGATTACTGACCCGTGAGTAAGTCAATTTAAATCACCGATTGGAGTGAACTGTAATATTTGCTTGGTAAAAACACAGTTACGGATGGCTAAATCACCCTACGAATTTTGACTTTTCTGTGACTGATGGCCTTGTTATTTGATTGTACTCGATTCCGGAATTATATGTTGATCACACTGTTTATTTCCGAAAACTATTCGAGTTACTTGGATAATTTTGCATTTATTTTCATCTTACGATAAATTGTACAATATTTATTAATAGAATCATCATGTTTCAGTCATGTCAGTTGGTGTGAGTCACTGGCCGGAAATTTAGGTTGGGCATCTTGCATTTCGACAGCGGGAGTAATTATGAACATAATACTGATGGTTTTGAAAACTTTTGGTCACATTTGGTCCCCTCCTATGAGCTTGATGCGATTTTTCTTCCATAAATTTCGGGGTTCCTGTGTCTCTTTAGTCTACTATTCTTCAATATCATAGTAAAAGCATTAGCACAGCGTATAACTGTAGTAATGAACTATCAATTGGATTACAGTCCACTCTTCGCCTTTTTCAGACATTGTTAATTGAGTTTACGACACAATTATTCATATTTTCTGCCAATGATGTTCAAATTTTCATCATTTCTACCATAACTATGTTCCTTCTCTGATCTCTGAGTTACCAGCTCTATCATCGAGGCAACTAAAAGTTCTGGTGTGATGCTAATCAGTTACTTTTAACAGGTTTTGAGATCTTCGAAATATATTGTACACTTTGTCTATTAGGAATCAGAAAAGATCTATCCCAACCATGCTAAGGAATATTTTTACCATCAAACTTAGGTCATGTCTTGGTTAGACCATGATTTTAATATCGCTTCAAAATTATAGGGATACAACCACCTAAAAATTCAAGGGAATAGATGCAAGAAAAGGACAAGGTCCTTATATACATAGATAACATAAACATCCATTCCTTTGAGCATGAATCTCATGATAGTGGAACTTAAGAAGTGAATAGCTGCTAACTCACGAAGGTTGTACATTTTCACTCGCTGTCATCTGTCGTAGCTCAATCTGCTTGATTGGCAGCTTATTATAGAGCCCATTCAGGTATGGGGTGAAAATAACAGATATCTGATATTGGGAGATTTCGATGCACCTGATATGAATTGGACAGAGATGACCATCATGTGATCTGGAAACCTTTTCCATGGCAAGCTCCTAATGACAATGATGGCGCATGTTTTATTGAAGCATGTCTGAACCCACAGATTTTGGCTCAAACCAAGGATCTTCTTTGTTGGACCTAGTAATCACTCCTGCAACTGAGGTTACTGTCTGTCCCAATTTTCTTCCCCCGTTAGCTAATAGCGATCATATTGTTTTGTCACTCAGATTATGAGCCAGTGACATAGTACATAATGAGGTTGGACCTCTCCCGAAGATGTAGAGAGCAAATGGAACAGAAATACATGAGTGCTCTGCGACGACCAACTGATCGGTAAGTACTAGTCCGCCAATTGAAGAAGCATGGTCTGTACCCAAAGGGGCACTTGGCTTTGTTATGTCCCTGTCTGTACCATTCATAGTACAACACAGACCGAATGAATGTTCACCGCGTATAACTAAAGCGTTTCAGTGTGGGAAATACCAATGGAGTATGTTTATCCTTACAGGTTCCAAACAGTACAAATCAATTTATTGTAAGACTACGATTGCTTGCAAAGCATTGATAGATGAGGTTGGATATTGCTAAGAGAAGCAAATGTTTAGGGATTATGAAAATGGTCCTGAAAGGCTGTTCTCGTATATAAAGAGGTGACCTTAGAGAAGTGATTGGATCCTAACACATTTAATACAGGAAAATCCATTGGCATTAGTAAGAAATGATGTTGTAAAAGTTGAAGCTTGGCAGAATATTTTATGAAGTGGTGATGGTGAAAGACCAGTAATATTCGTGATAATTGCGGCTTGTCGATGAGTCTTGTGGTTATTGAGAAAGGGATTGTCATACGTTTACTTCAACATCTCAAACCGGTTACGTTTAGTGATCCTAACAATATTTATTCTGAAACTACGAAAGCTCTGGCGGATGTATGTACTGATCCTCTGGCAATACTGTCTGACATGCTTTTGTGGAGGTCTAAACTACAAAGAGACCTGAAGGATGCAATAATCAGTCCTGTTTACAAAGCGAGGGGTAGGGCCTTAGTTAGTAACTAATCGAAAAGATTACTCGAATGTCTATCTTAAACTATAGTATATGTAGAAGTGGATAATCTTCTATCCAGGGGAAAACATAGTTTTAGGAAAGGCCTATCATGCTTGAAATGGGTCTCTGCCAACATGGGAATATGTAAAAAGGGGAGTTCCTCAAAGAAATTTCCTCGGTCTTTTTTTGCCTTTATGTGAATGACTCTCAAACTGCAGCTAAGTTATCTGTTCTACTCTTTGCAGAAGACATAGATTTGGAGACTTATAAACGGTGTCGAATAGAATAATATTACATAATGAGCTTAATTCACTGGTTGTATGGATTAGTAGGTGGTCATTAGAATTTAAATGTAACAAGAGTGTGATGATAAAGATAAGTGACTATGGAGTTGTGTTACCTGGATTAATGGACTATAGAAACTTAGGAGTCAGAATGAGCAACGACCTCGAAACCATGAGTAGTTCCAAGTCTGTCGCTTCGAAAGCCTTGCGGGCTGTTCGTAAATCATTTCATTACTTGAAAGAAGGAATGATTAACAGGTTGCTTGTTGTCTATGATCTGCGGCTATGGTACAAGTAGTGCTCAAATTCTGCTAAACGAACTTTGAGGTTCGTTGCGCGGTTTATTTTTGGGTGTCGGTACGTCCCGGCGTGTTTTCGGTATGCTGAAATTATATGCTTAGTACTAAGAAATGCGTTAAGAACTGCAAATGATACTAAATTAATCCAGTACTAAATGTCGCTAGATTTTGAAGCTCCTAATGTTCCTGAGCAACTACAACTAACATAGCTGATAGCCCCTCTGATAGTGGGTCGACAATATAATTTATGGACGACCTTTGAAAGAATCTTAAGTGACCTTGAAAAATATTAGCCAATTCGAAAACAATTAGTATGGAGTAAAAATATATTATACAACACCAAAAAATGAGAGTGGGTACACTTCTTTTACATGGTCCATTCTAACATTCTTATGAAAAAATATTTGATTGAAGTTGTTAGAACACTCAGATTCTGAGTTTTAAATCATTCTGTACACTTAATTTATAGAAGTAGTTACTTCAATGGTAGTAATATATAGAATATTGTGTATAAGGATGTAATCCAGGAAGAAAAAAAGTCGGTTTGTATAGTATAGAAATGAAGAAAGGTCTGAAGTAATTTTAATCTCATGGTTTGAGGGAAGACAAAGAGTTTATACACATACGCCATTGTGGTCGATTCTGAGCCATTTCACCTAGTCTCCAACCATTGGTTACAATTGTCACGCGGACCCCAACCAAGTATTCTGCATCTACGAACATGGCTGAGAGTGAAAGTTAGTGACTTCAAACACTGATGCCACGTTTTGGTTTGGCCGCCCCCAACTCTTTTCCAACCATCCCCAGCACTAGTCAGCATTGCGCATCGTGGTAAATGGTGTTCAGGCATACATAACTCGTGGCCCAACCATCTTAGTCGATGAAGCTTGACAACCACATCAACTGATTTACCATCACTCCCTGATACACAGTGTCTAACCTCACTATTACTTACCCAGCAGATGTGAGCAATATTTCTAATATATCTGTGACCAAATACTGGTAACTTACGAGTATCTTCTACTCCTAACGGTCACGTTTCGCAGCCGTAAAGTGGAACAGCTAACTGTTGCTCAGTATACTCGTCCCTTAATTGATAGACAGATATCTCGCCTTTGTCATAGGTGTTGTAAGTTGGCAGAAGTCAAGCGAGCTTTCTGAATCCGTGCTGAGATTTCGTGAGACACCAACCCATTAGGGCTGATCAGACTTCCAAGATAAGTGTGGTTGTTCAGGTATCGACGCAGACCAGTCCTGGAGTAACAATTTACATTTGAATGGGGAGAAACGCATTCCAAACATCTTTGCATTGTTACTCAGTGCTATCAAAAGACTGCATTTTGTCAGCACCTTCACCAAACAGGTTTATATCATCTGTGTATTCTAAGTAGGAGATCATTGCCTGAAAATTCAGTCGACGAGAGCGATATTTCCAGCAGTAGGTCTATGATGCAGTTGATATTTATTTATTTATTTAAACACATAAATATTGGTACAAGCAAGCACCAGATAAATATGCGCCTCACAAATCTCATTCGATTTGTATGAGGGCTGTGATACTGCCCGGGTGCCCAGACTGAAGCAGTTGGTTTTCTTAGGGGGCCACACCTGGAGCCTTTGACCTAAAGGTCTAGTCCACAAGGCAGTGGAGCATCGTGAGGTGATGCAGTCCCATGGTAGCCGGTGACCAACAGTTGGTTCATACGCCATTCGCTCCTTCAGGATCCTGGAGCCCATGTGCACCATTAGTTTGGAATCAGGGTTTCCAACTCCCCTAGGTGAATCCTCCACATCCACCATCCCAGTTAAAGCGCCGGACATTCGCTTTTCATCCTCTCACTTTTGTGAACAACACCCCCGCCACGAGAAGGCAGTGAGTAGAACTTCCCTGGCAGTTGAACAAAAATTGAGATAGTGAACAGCCTTGTTGGACACCACTTGAGGTTGTAAAATCAGATGACAGTTCGCCAGAAGCTCTGACTCGACTGGTAGTGTTCGAGTGAAAATTTTTCACAGGGTTTATGTACTTCTGAGGTATGCCTTTGATTGACAGACACTGCCACAGAACCTCTCAGTTTACAGAGTCAAATGCTGCTTTTAAGTCAAGAAGAACTATCATTGTCGGACGCTGATAAGAGTGCTTGTGTTTAAAATCTGACGAATGTGAATATGTGGTCGATGCAGTCACGACCAGGTCTGAAGCCAGCCTTATTTTCTGGTGTTTGCAGTTTATGAGTCTTTGTTAGATACCCGAGAATTATTGAGGCCAGTATTTTAGATGCTATATTAATCAAACTAATCTCTCTATGGTTATCACAGGATGATTTTGACCCTTCTTATGTATTGGGACAATCAATGGTTGCGACCAATCAGATGGGATTATGTCCAACTCCCAGATTTTAGCTAAAATATTAGTCAACCTAATCGCTAAAATTGGACCACAATCTTTAAAGACTTCTGGAGCCAATCCATCTGGATCAGCTGCTCTTCCTCATTTCAAATTAGCTATAGCCTTTTGAACTTTAGCTAGAGTCGGGGGACCTACTTCAATGTTCCATTCAGGCTATTTGAGAATGGTGTGTTGTTGTACAGTAGCTGAAGGCCAGCTAAACTGCTCCTTAAAGTGTTCTACCCATCGTTATAAACATCTGAGCTGAGAGCAGATAAGTGTCATCTTTTTCCGAGATCGTCTCACGCTTAACTTCTTAATTTCATTTTCTTTTACTAGTCTCAAAAGCTGTATTTTGTTAGATTATGAATACAGTGGTCTTGAGTGCTGTTAGAGGTATGAGGGCAGTTATCACTTCCCGGTCGCCCACACCGTGGAAGAGTTCTTTTGGGGGTACCTGAAAAGGAAATTGGGTTAGAAGTCGTCTTAATTACCCGAGAGCGTGACCGCAGTGCCCAAGGGACAACTGCTTGAGGTCGGTCACACACGACCTTTTTGTGAGTAGTTTTTGTGTTAGCTCCGTTCTTCAAAGGACCTTACCACCGGAGACGGAAATCCGTGGGATAAGGCGAGGTGTGCATTTTTAGGGTTGACCTTTTCTAACCCCACCCCTCCTTGTGGGAAGGCAGCATCGCTGTCATGCTGGTTGTCTGAAGGAAACACCTTACTGCTTTCACACCTCTGTACAGTCAGCAGTACGACTTCGCCTTCGGACCTTGGGTTTGCTGCTTTTAGTCTCACCGCTCTTCAAACGACCTGTCTGGCATGGTAGGACCTTGAGGAACGATTGTTCCAGCCAGTATAGCTCGATTGCTTCATCACGATAGGCAAGCCCGACCACCACGTCAAGGTAGCAGCAACGGTCGGGTGACATGGCTCAGAATCGATCACAATGGCGTAGGTGTATACACTCTTTATCTTTCCTTAAACCTGAAGATTAAAATTGCTTCATATCTGTCTTCCTTCCTATACTATATCCCTACATACAACCTTTCTTTATATACTACCACCACTAAATTAATTACTTCTATGAATCCGGTGTTGATCTTGTTGTGCTAACGAGGTATGGCAACTTGGACCGATGCATATATGTGCCTGGTCCTACGTTGTAGCTAACATACAGCGGCTACCTCCTCCATCTCTTTTGCTTTCGTTGCCCACCACTGCTCACGATCGTTCCTTATACTTTCGGTTAACCTTAATCTCATTTGTTTTCGCTCTTCATCGTGTTCAGAGCCTGATGGGATGAGTTTACGAGAATCCATCAGTGCAATAGACTTAGTTGAAATCCATTAGTTTTTCGTATTCCTGTGGTTTAAATCACTAGTAGATGTTACTGCTGTTTCCACAGTTGTTTGTATATGTGTCCAAGCAACATCTGGATCAACCTCGCCTTCATAACTGCCGAACTGTGACCTCAGTTGTTCCTGGAACCCAGTTTTGGCTTTCTCATCACTGAGTTCACATTTAATGGTTTTTTAATGTGGTTTTCTTCGTCCAGGGAAGCGCAAGCAATTGCGTACTCATTAGAGCATGATCAGAGTCTAAACATGTATTACAGAACGAGCGGCAGTCTTCTGTTGAGCCTCTTCAACGATGACTGATGGCAATATGGTCTATTTAAGTCCATCGTTAGTTTGGTGCAAGGGTTTGCTATGTTAGACGATGTCTCTCCTTATGCTTGCTAAAAACAAACGATTATCTGAGCACAGTTGCAGCAGACGGTCACCATTATCTTTTCGCTGAGCCGAAATATCAAGATACCCACCTAAATGTCTTCATGTTTGGTTTAAGCTACCTGCTTCGGCTTTAAAGTCACCTGCTACAAATACTATGTCTGAGCGTTCAGCTTTTTGAAGAAGCTTAGAAAGCCTTTTGTAAAAGTCATCTTTCTTTTCATCCGAGCTGCAGTCAGTTGGAGTGTAGGCAGAAAAGACGAAAAGAAAACGATGTGTGTTCCTATCCTTCCGAGTTCTTACGGAGCCGGAAAGCACATAGGCGACTGTTAACGGGGATCCATTCTAATAGTGTTTGTTCTGCCCTTGTACTCAGTGCTATGCCTACAACCACCAGTTCACGAGAACTAGCCATTGCGTCGCTAGATAAACGGAGGGTGTATCTCGTCGGCTCTCGGTTTTTGTGAGGTGAGGTCAAGTGAATGACCACACTAGGATCCTGTATGTGCGTTTTGAAGACACAACATACATCAATGGTACGAGATTCTAGGGTTTTAGCCAAGGAGACCTGTTGGCCGATTTGATACAGGGTGCGTACATTGAAGGCTCCAATGTGCAGTTTGGAGCAAGGTTTCAGTAGATCTGGGACAGTGTTTTGCGCACTAGAATCGTTGGCCATGGTGACACTTGAGGAGGAAGTTTAGAGTTGAGAATCGAGGTAGGAGGAATAATAGAAATTGAAGAGGGAGATTGATTATGGATACAGTGATCTTGAGTGCTGTTAGAGGTATAAGGGCGGTTACCACTTCCCGGTCGCCCACACGGTGGAAGGGTATTTCTTGAGGTACCTGAAAAGGAAATTGGGTTGGAGGTGATCTTAGTGGCCTGAGAGCATGACTACTTTGCCCAAGGGACAACTGATTGAGGCCAACCACACACGACCTTTTTGTGAGTAATTTTCGTGTTAGCTCCGTACTTGTTGGGACGTGACCTCCAAAGATGGAAATTTATGAGATAAGGCGAGGTGTACATTTTTTAGGGTTGACCTTTTCTAACCCCACCCCTCCTTGTGGGAAAAAAGCATCGCTGTTATGCTGGTCGGCTAAAGGAAACATCTTACTGCTGTCATACATCTATAGAGTCAGTAATACGACTTCGCCCTCGGATCGACTTGTCCGGTATGGTAGGACTTTGAGGAACGATGGTTCCAGCCTGTGTAGTTCGATTGGTTCATTACGATAGACAAGCCTGACCACCACATCAAGGCAACAGCAACGGTTGGGACTGTCACTGGTACTACTTTTGGTCCAAAATTTGTCTTGATAACCTCATCTAACAGTGCTAATTTGGGGTGGTTAATTGAGTCAAATCACGTATGTGGCAGGTTTTTCGCTGCATGTAACTGATTTTCTAGTTTTATTCAGGAGAACAGTGTTATTTGAATACTTTTAGTTATTCATGGCGTGTCTTTCTATAAAACTTAAGACGTATGAAGAGTATTACATATACTCGTCTTTTAATGAAATATCAGCAAATCGCCCCAATAGATAGTGTTAATATTTAGTTTCAAACTCTTTATTAATAACATGTTCATAAAACTCAAACAGATTCTAAATAATATTTTCCTCAATTATTGTAATCTTGTTTTACCAAAAATTAGTTACCAAAGCTGTTATTTTAGATTTGATCTACTTATGGACCATAAGCGCCCTAAATTATGTTCTCTGGAAACTGAAAGTGCTGACAATGAAGTGGATATCCTTCAACCCAGCGAAGTTGGAATCAGTACGTTCGTACAGCCTTTAGTTGAAGGGTTCGAGGCAACGTTGAAAAATAGGTATGTTTGATTTTGAACACTTCATATATTCATACAGATGGGAAGACTTTATTGTTCGTGAATTTAGAGGTCAAAATTATGCAAGGCTTACTGATTTAACACCAATTCCGGATCCTACTCCTGAAGTAACTTTTAGAAACACTTATTTATATACTAGGCTAATGATTTTACTATGGAAAAGAAACTTGAAGTTCATTTGTCTGAACTTCAAAACTTGAGCCGTGGTGATATTGAAGTATTAAAAATTAAAGTACCCTAGTCATTTGAGATCATTAAAAAAATCAGGCACCAGATGATAAAGCAGACAGAACACAGATTCACCAAGCAATACGTGCATTGTTCCCATCACTTGAAAGCACAACATCACAAGAGGGCAATGAAAATATGATTGTTGTACATCGAAAAGACCATCCTGAAGGTTAGTTTCTAAAATCACAATTATTATTGATATCGCTTTCAGCCAAAGGTTCACGACAATCCAGAAGAAGAGCCAATGGTATGTCTAAAAGTGCACCATATTGCCATTTTGTACTTTACAAGGAGGGTAAAGACACACTTAGTGCTATCCAAGTTCTCAGTCGTTTCCTTCAGTATGTTTTGTCTGATTACTCTTCTTTGATTTTGAAGTGTTGGACCTAGTACATTTTCATTTGCTGGCACAAAAGATCGTCGAGCAATTACCACACAGTTTGTTACAGCGAAAGGGTAAAATTTATTCGAATAAATGATTTTCATATAGTATAAATTCGAAAACGCTATCATTACTGAATACACGGCTTCATGGCTTACGTTTAGGCAATTTTTCATACGTTTCTTCTCCTCTGTTTCTCGGAGATTTAGACGGAAATCAGTTCGTAGTTGTGCTAAGGTTAGTCTATCGACTTCATGGCAATACTGCTTTTTCGTTTGTAGATCGGTGTGTGCACCAAGATCCGTCATTGAAACTGCAGTTGGGACTTGGAAAAGTACTGGTTTTGTAAACTATTACGGTCTCCAAAGATTTGGTCATTCTTCCAAATCCAAAAGTTTCGAAATTGGAAAGTATGATTGATTTAATCATTCTGTCTCATAAATATCTATTTGTTAACCTAATTCGATCCAAATTTCCCTGAGACCTAGTGGTATTAATCAGCCGTTCAAATATATATATATATGTAACGTGACGAACTTTACTGAATTGTTTACTTCCCTGACAGTCCTCAACTGAATAACAGCCAAAATGACTAAACTGTTAGCCATGCAATCACGAATATATTTTTCTTTTTTTTATAAACTAAGATGTGAAACAAAAAATTCTCAATGATTTTAAGACTTTGAACAGTAGTCAGTTTTTGTCCCATTATAACCGCAAAACTTGTATCATGTTCAGGGCTATAAGATAGCTACCAAGTTTTATGGCGGTAATTATCGAAACATTTTACAATCTCTTATGTTCAATAAACTTCATGAGTTGTACTGTAAAAGATCTGGGTAATTTTTTTATAAGCAATTATTATTTCAAGTAGTATGAATGAATTTCGAGAACAAATATAAAAAGAATGTTTAACTGTTCTTCGACGCATATGAATGATAGATATCAAGAGATTAAATAGCGATTATAATTTACTCTGTCACTAATTCAAAATGGTACCGATGGAAATATAATGTGAAAGAACTTCTGTTTAAACAGATAACGAATATCCACTTCGTATTTAATAACGAACCCTAAACAGATAGATGGGATAACAACAAGATCTCCCCTCGGTCTAATATTCTCCCATAATTTTTTAACCAGACTGAAAAATGGATCACTGTATGATACTCGTAGTGAGGTAGAATTCTACTGCCGTTACGTAGATGACAAGCTAATTATATGTGGTAAGACGGTCAACCTACGAGAACTATTAGGAAAATTTAATAATCCACACCCTTAGATTAGTTCTACATGTGAAGAAGTGCCATAATTAGGTAGAATTTATTGATATCCTTCTCTCTGAAAGGTCGAATGGTTCGTATTGAAAGGATACAAATCGGTTCATAGCATATTCCATTCAGGACTATGCTGGAGCACACTGATTGGACCATTTTGTTGTGTCCCGATAACAATAGTGAATGGTAACTTTGGGATCCATTTATGGACCAATATTATGCATATATTTTTTATCGTATAATTGCAAAATAACTAAACTATTTATATTCATGTTACCCTTATCATGAGCTTTATTTTGAACTATAAACTATTGTTATACGATTCACCATTCTTGAGTTATCCCTAATCTAATAATTACTGCCTCCCATTCGGCTGAATCTTATACAAATGTTATTTTCTATTTTATTGGTGCGATGTGGTCAGTCTGTTTGGTATATAAATTCAGTATGTTTGAAATATAAGGATTCATACCGCAGAGGCTGTGATTGGTGTTCTGGACTTAACTGTCTGGGCTAGGCAGAAGCAGGACCGATAAGCACTCTAGACTGCTCGTACGGTTTTCGTGTGTCACTGTTCCAATCGATAATTCGCTGCTCTCTGATTGGCGGTCTTATCACGTCATACGTTAACAAGGCATCCACTCGGCCACAAGTTATAACACATTTTCAGTCGATCAGCACCACTAGATAAATGGAGAAAACTTTAGAATATTCCTGTGTATCAGTAATAAATATAGTAATATTTTTCTTATTGTAATTTATTTCTATTCAGTTTGGTTTGCTGTAGAATATTATTACGTTCCTGTCCTCGCTGTGTTCTGATTTGGGGATCACTTAAGTCTTTTAGTATCTGTAGAATACTTGGTAACAGAAGTAGCTGGATTGAATAAAGAAGAATAACAGTTCGGTGCAAAGAAATGACTTTAGAAGAAGATCTTAGACGGAACAACGTATTCGTTTCCCCAGCTTCATAGCTTTGCAGCATAAAATCAATCTATTTAAATCTCTAGGTCACAGAATTCAAAAAGTACTCTAAGGATAATATAATCCAAGAATAAGACAAACTAATGGTGTCGCTTCTACAAAATGGATACTGTAGTGATTTCACAAAAGAATACATTATAGAACCTAAAAGGAAGACATGGATTTTCACAGTTAAAAAGAAAACTCTACACTTAAAACTTAATTGCATAGGTAATATATCGAGTAAGGTTCTATAAGTTGTCTAAATGCAACTGGTTATTCGACATGTTAGTACCTTTTAATTACACGTAACTTTCCCAACGAAGTCAATACTTACCCGGCAAATTAAGAATACGATACCAATAATGGATTCATCTATACCTGCCTATCAATTTAACTGTTCCTGTGAGGCTAGTAGCATTGGTCGTACTCACATATTCTTATCCCTACGTGATCGTAAACACGTACAGTCATGATTAGGAAAAGTCGTTACGCAATCTACTGTTAGTGTCATTTATTTAATTGACAGATAATTCCCACTTAAACATTAAAAACACAAAGTTCAACGAAGGGATCTCTTTTCGATGAATTTATTATCAAGCTTTACAACCGTATATATGTGAAAACTTTTTGTTAAAGTACTAGTTCCATGAGGAAATGTGAACAAGGAATAATCAAGATAATGTAATAGAAAGATTATAATACTAGTTTACGTAATACGAATAATAACATTAGGCTTAATAAGTTAGCAACGAATTATCACGTAAATGTAGTGAAATGATTAAAATGTTCTTGTTACAATAATTGTCGGTAATTAAAGGTAATAGAGGAGCGAAATAAATGAAGTGATATCATGAGCAATTATGAATAAAATAATGGGAATATGAGACGTAAGTAAAGGGTGATTTATTTATTTAAACACATAAATATTGGTGTAAAAAAGCACCAGATAAATATGCGCCTCACAAATCTCATTCGATTTGTATGAGGGCTGTGATACTGCCCGGGTGCCCAGACTGAAGCAGTTGGTTTTCTTAGGGGGCCACACCCGGAGCCTTTGACCTAAAGGTCTAGTCCACAAGGCAGTGGAGCATCGTGAGGTGATGCAGTCCCATGGTAGCCGGTGACCAACAGTTGGTTCATACGCCATTCGCTCCTTCAGGATCCTGGAGCCCATGTGCACCATTGGTTTGGAATCAGGGTTTTCCAACTCCCCTAGGTGGATCCTCCACATCCACCAACCCGGTTAAGGTGCCGGACATTCGCTTTTCATCCTCTCACTTTTGTGAACAACACCCCGGCCACGAGAAGGCAGTGAGTAGGACTTCTGTGGCAAAAGGCTATATATTCGCGTGGCCATATGGGAGCATTTCGAGAGGGAGAGCAGACTCTCCCCACTCTCGGCCGTACTAGGGCATTTGGGGGCAAGTAAAGGGTGAAATGCAGTAATAATAATGATTAAGGCCAAGTTAACAATAAGATCTACCTGTTTTGTACGCATAGTTCTGGCTTGAGCTCATGGATGGTAACAGCTTCGGTTACTTTTGGGGGTTTGATACGAAAAGATTTAGGGTAGATTTGAGCTAATCGTATATACAACCTTAAAATCAAACTGTGGATCAGTGAAATGATTACAGTCGATTAAATTTTCAAGTCTGGAACTCCTAACTGCTTTCATCTCACCTTTATGGAACCATACTGGGACATGTTCCTACATCCTAGTCGAAAGCGAGCACTGGCTACGGTCATTGTACCTCGCTCTACAACATCAGGTGAACTGGTAGTCTAATGTTATTATTCGTATTACGTAAACTAGTATTACAATCTTTCTATTACATTGTCTTGGTTATTCCTTGTTCACATTTCCTCATGGAACTAGTACCTTAGCAAAAAGTTTTCACATATATACGGTTGTACTCGTCGAAAAGAGATCCCTTCGCTGAATTTCGTGTTTTTAATTTTAGTGTCATTTCTCACCTAATTGATTACGTGCATACCATCAAAATTGAAAATATTTTCTCAGTTATACATCAAGTTCCTGGTAATTTATTAAAAGGCGCAAGATTATACTTATTCCGTATAGCTGAAGTAATTGGAATCGATTTCAAGAAGCCTAACTTATGTGAACAAGAAAGTTCCATCCAGCCTGTTCATCTTGGGCCACATTGATGTTGTTTCATTCTTAGTTCCGATTTTATCTCTTCCCCTTTATCCTAGTTTGCACTCCCTCGCAAGACAATTTTTCTCATCCTTAGTTATGCATTCATCTTTATTATTTTATGTGATATTTCTGTATAAATAATTATTCCTATTATTGTTATTATTATTGTGCCCCTTATTTATTAGATATCTTATTCGTTCAAAATGGGCGGACGCTATTGACCTTATCTTAAAACCAACTTATGCAGGTAATGTATGCTGTACTTTACATAATATTATCTTAGACTTACCTTTTCTTAGAAAGGTCAAAGAAAAATTCTTACAATCCGGCGATGCAAAGGGTTGTGCCGACGATTGTCCATTGGGTATAGAAAAGACTTTACTGTTAGGTATTGCAAAGTATGGCAAAACTTTGAAGGCCATTCAAATGGTAAGTCTCTGTAGAATACAATAAAATGATACCTTTTAATCAAACTATGATTTCTGTTTATCTATGCTAAGTTATAAAAGCACTTACATACTAACTTTATGAACAGTTATTTATGTCTCTGGATATGTGGCTTTTAGTATTAGATCGAGATTCTAATTCTTTAAACACTGTCATCCCTTTTATTACCAAAATTTATTTCTAGCCTAGATTTTCCAACTACAGATTAACACTGAATGTGTTCATCTCATAATATTAAGAATTTAGTCCGACGTATAGTCTCCATTTAAATTTGTGGTGCAACAGAGCACTCATTTTAAGTAGTCTCATGCTGAAAGACTTTAAAATACAGCTTTCACACTTTTTTATCGTCCTGTAAAAATAGATCAAATTATTTTATGAAGGATCTATAAAATTATTCTGATGAGGCCACATTTGTGAGTAAGTATTCAAATTCAGTTTGGACTGAAAGATTAGAAAACAAAAATAACCAGAATTAAAATGCATTAGGTTTTAATTGCTATAGGTCTTTAATTCTACATTAAAAAGGTTAAAACATGTTTGTTTCCAAAACAGCGAAAACCAAATCACTGAAAGAATTCTGAGGGTTCATTAGTTAGCACTAAACAGGAAACCTTTTCTATTCATCAGTATCACAAGCAAATAACTTTTTGTAGCAAGATTTAGGTTAACTGACAATATAAATTAAGGTTTCCCTTTTATTTGCACTACTTCCTATAGCATACTCATTCAAGATAGTAACTGTACTTAAAGTTATGATTGGTTTGGGTAAATAAGGCTTGTCTCCACCTAGTTCTTCTGTTGTAGTCGATTAGTGCTATAAGCCGTCGCACAACCAAGATATTGCTCGAAGCAGAGCTCGTACACCCTTACTTAATAAATAAGTTGCATTTAATCAATCATACAATAAGTTTCAGGAAAGTTAATTTTTTTATCAATTAGCAAGCAGGTAATGTGTACTGCATTTTGATTTTTATACTAATAAATGACTTGTTTCCTAATTAGTGTCCATACCGCACAACATTTTAATGACCCTTTAATCTATTAATTATAAAAGTTTATATTAAATTAGCGAAATGAAGAAGTTTCTTTCTTTTCTGTTTGCATGTACGCGGATATCACGTGCTAAAAATGTAATTGTTGGAGTAGCGATAGTAATAGTACACAATGTGCACAGTATTGTAAACACCAGTTATACTAGGCGTTGACCTAGAACTTTTGCCAGCTTGATTTTTCTTTGGTTGAATCACAACCTAATATCATGGAGAATATTGATTGCGCTGAATGTAGTACAAATAATTCCACTGCATAAAGATGCAAAAACCAGTGTGAAAGTTTATAAGCAGATTCCACTAAAAATTCATTATATGCTGCTTTCATATTTACTTAAAAATGAAATTTTACGCAACAGTTTAATTGGAAGCCTTGATTTCTTAAATGCTCTGGTATAATTGAAAGTGAAGAGAATTCACTCTCCCTCCAGAAACACTCACATGTGCCCATGTGTTTGAAGCCTCTGTTTTTATTTTATTTAAACACATAAATATTGATGCAATGGGGCACCAGATATATATGCGCCACACAAAACAATGAAAATGGGAAGAGAAAGAGGTAAGATGCATATATATATATATATATATATATATATATATATATATATATAGCTAGTTGTGCACAGCTTTCTTTCATACCACGACACCATGTCATACATTGACCGCCTTTCCGCTTTTTCCGACCAATCCAAGCGTCAGCAAATAATGCATGATGTGGAATTCTCTGGAACGAAATTTGTAGATCATGTCCAAGCCACCGAAGTCGATGTTTCAAGATGGTGACAACAATTGGGTTGTCTTCTCTGCACCCGAACACACGATGCCGAACCTCTGCATTACTAACATGGTGTCGCCACTGGATGTCAGCAATCCTTTGGAGACGACGATCAAGCACATAGGGTTGTCTAACATCCTCAACTCTGAAAAGCCAGGTTTCACAAGCATAGAGCAAAACTGCTCTCACCGACGCGTTGCAGATCCAACCTTTTACAGCCAGACTAACATCACGAAGGTGCCAAAGATGTCCCAGATTAGCATAAGCCGCTCTTGCTTTCACTATACGTGAATCTATCTCATCACTCACGCCACCACTAACACTTATGCAGCTACCCAGATACACGGACTGCTCACCGTCCAGGGTGAGTACAGGATGAGAATCCTGCCAGTCTTGTAGGAGTACTTTGCACTTGGAGGGTGCAAAGCACATACCGTACCTGCGGACACTGATTGCCAACTGATTAAGTGCGGATTGCATGGCTTGGGCATTATCGCACAGAAAGACAATATCATCCACATACTCGAGGTCGAGAAGTCGTTCTCCAGGCAGCAGATCCACACCGCCATTACTTACATCCATCAGAGATGCTTCCGGAATGTCATCGATGGCAAAGTTGAAGAGGAATGGTAGGATTGGGCAACCCTGTCTAACCCCACTGCTTGAATGGAAGGTGGTTGTATGCCCTCACTCTGCCTGAGCTGTTTGTATACAGGGCCTTTAAGATGTTAATAAACTCCTCAGGCACACTCTTCTTCAATAGACAATCCCAGAGAGCAGTGCTATCCAACGAAACGAAGGCGGCCCTCATATAAAAAACACTATGATTGTTGGCCTGTGATAAGTATGACGGTGTTTGAACATTTGGCGGAGGGTGAAGATGTGATCAATGTATCCTCGACCAGAACGAAAACCAGCCTGCTCCTCGCGAGTCAATCGTTCTCGGGTTTTAAACAGTGTACAAAGTATGAGAGAAGCCAACAGTTTGGACGCAATCGGAGCTAGATTTATCCCCCGATAGTTGTTACAGGAACGACGTGAACCCTATTTAAAGATAGGGACGACTATTGACTTATTCCATGATGTTGGAGCACTTTCTTGCTCACAAACCTTTGCAAACAACACCGTCAGTTCCTTAGCCAGAAAGTCACTATCATCTTTAAAAAGAGCTGGAGGTAAGTCATCTGGGCCCGATGATTTATAGCGTTTCAAGAGTTGGAGTTCCTTGCGGACCTCTGCCTCATTTGGTGGATCAGTCTTCACCGGCTATGGAGAACAGGACAATCTGGTCCATGTTGCCGGAGCAGCAGGCCAGTTGAACTGCCCTTCGAAGAATTCCGCCCATCGTCCAAGACGTCGATAGATGTTAGTCATTGATATCCCGTCATCCTCGTAGATTGTTTCACTCACACCAGACTTCTTGCTGCCAATGGCTCGGATGAGTTGGAAGAGCTTCCGGCAGTTACCAGATGCTGCTGCTGCTTCCATCTCCTTAGCACGTTCCGACCACCAGGCTTCACGGTCCTTACGCAAGCTTTGCCCAATTTTGTTGCGTAACAGCCTTCGTTTGTGGTCATACTCACGGTCACCCGGAGTAGACTGACGGGCTTCGATCAGTTGTAAGGAGCCAGAAGAAACCCAGTGCTTATAAGCGGGACGTTTCGCCTCTATTAGGGATATTCTAGTAACTTTCTTCACTAGTAGGGGGTGTTTTTTTTTGCAAAAATGTAGGGACGAAAAACGAACATTCAGCTCTTCTGTTGCAACCAAGTATCAAACTAATTTAGGTTCAAGGATATCTACCAATCCACTGATAAGTTTGAGCAAGTGTTGGTTGTGTTTGCGTGATCCTCTGAAAATGGCTGGTATTATAGATTGCGGCTTCGCTACACCTAGTCTTCAGAAGGAGGACTCTAGTAAGCAAATTGGAGATGACGGTACCGGAAGTTGATTTTGGTTTCAATTAGGTTGTGACCTTTACAAAGCTGTAAGAAATCGTCATCATCATCTGACCATTGAGTCCCTAGTGGTCACCCAAGCGACTCCCCTCTTTGCCTAGACTCCTAAAGTTTGCATTTAAATCTCCGGCTAGTAATACAAAATCTGTCATATTCGGTGGTAGCATTCGTTAATTCGATCATTCAGCGACTTGAGACCATTTAGACAAGATATAACGTTCAATAAAAGTGAGCTGCTGAGTTAGTTGAAAAATCAACATACACGTAAAGTGAGGAATACAAAGATGACGCCGTATGAAATAAATTTATGTGTAACCAAATAATTTTGAATGTTGTTTGAGTGCATAGCGAGGAAGAGCGAGCACACATTCGTCAATAATAATCACCGGAGCATCTGTGTAGTATAGTTAAAAGCTTCGTTCGTAAATCTGTACTTGACAAATAAGCAATATTATTTATTATTTACTATTATTATTATTATTAAATCTGATATCTAATTAGTAATACCTATACCATTTTTTATTTTGATTTGAGAAATTCTTACATAGAATGTATAAATGAGATCGACAACCTAACTTGATTTATCGAAGTCCAATTATTACCGTTGTTAAATTGTATCTTTAATTTTAAACCCAACTGTAAATAACTTTTAGCATAAAGTAATTATATCATTTACGTTCTGTCCTATAATTAGCTTAGTATAGTTATCCAAGACAGTTCATCTTAGAATATTGAGATAAGCATACTTTGTTGGCCAAGTCATATGGAATAATTTCGGAGACATGGATTCGTGTAGATCTGTGCATTAAAAGACTGAATAATGAATTTAATTTCTAATCTTCATGTTTTTTAATAATAAATTACTATATATGGCTGACATATTTATGCTTCCTCCGAAAAATAACCACTTTTAGCTTCCTCGAAACCTTCGTCAACTCTATGTGCATAGTTATCAATCTTTCTTATGGAACCATGTGGCAAGTTTACGTATGACTCATCAAAATCCTGGTGACCTTTTTGCAAAGCCTGGTGATCTTTATTATAATGATCAGAATGTAATAACCCCAGATAATTGTGAAGATGGTATGTTGTTTGTCAACATATAACATATTTATTTTCAAAAGCTATTTGTTTAATGTTAGTGTTCATCATTTATGGATATCGTTTAAGAAATCAATTTTGAAAACGAACTTGCGCATGTTAAGAGTTCGATTTGGAACTTGACTACAATTTATATTACCCACTTCTTCTGCAGTCAAACTTTTATTAAAACCTTATTGCTATCTTATTACTCAGTCGTTCATTTCTTAAATTCAACCAATCCATTATAGGTGATTGTTCGTCGCCGTCAACAGCGATAAATAACTCCGCAGAAGTAAGTAAGTAAGTATAAACAAGGGTTAAACGTGAATCAGAATCAGTCACAAAGTGGTATAGATCCATTTAGTCTTTATCTTAACCTATATCTTATTTACCTGCAATGTTATTTCACGCATACTCTTCTGCAAATCCATCCTTTTTTAAAAACAATATTTTCTTTAGTCCTTTGTATAATATCATTGTTACTACTGTTGTTTTGATTCCTTTGTTATTAGTTTACATAGTAATCATCTTTAGTAATAGCTTACTAACTCAGAAACATGGAGTGTATTAAACAAATTGTTTAATTTAACTAAAATCGATCAAATTTAAATGTTCACCTATTATTTTCTTATATAAACACTTCGTTTTTTAAAGGTCATCCATTAATAATTATATTTGAGATGAAAAAGAAGCATATAATTAGTGTTCATTATATACCATACAAAAAAGGAAGAGAAAGACAACAAAAAAATTATGACTAACAAGTTTCAGCCTTGCGATTTAAAAAAAATCTTTTACAATTCTAAAAATGTCTTCAGTTTTTTTCTAAAAAAAGATTTGTTACACCAAAATTTAATGATGTTTCAATTATTTATACTACTTTAGTTGATTCACAAATCCTTTTTTAAGATCAATGCTTTGCTATCTATCTGTGTTTTTGAATTTTCTTGTTGTTGATACCAAAAAATTAATTTTAATCAATCTCTGAACTCAGTACCTCATTGAATAAAGCGTTGCGTGTCCGAAGCTAAACGTACTAAGTTTGAATTGTGTAATGACTATCAACACTGAAATGCAAGACGACCCATCTGACGAGTCGCATATAGGATGAAATGCATGTCCTGAATACTAGAACTAGCCACTATTCATCTTTACTTCAACACAGGTCTTAAAATTTCAAAATATATAGGTGGTGGCTTTGTAAAACATTGTTTCTAAAAAACAAGGTAAAAGCTTTTCAAGTTGGTGAAATCTCTCTTTGCTACTTTCTTAGTTGAACTTTAAGCTTTTAATAGATCACTGTTCTAATCCACTTAATATGTCACATACATGGTCCCCCTCTTAATTTTTCTTTTCAGTATTATTTCAAATTGTATGAAACATTCTTTGTGGATGTTTCACTGATTATGCCATTGAATACACAAAAACTCACTTTATACCACTTTCATCTTTCAGCACAGTGACTTTGAACACACAAGATCAAACTTACTTACTTACTTTCGCCTGTTACTCCCAATGGAGCATAGCCCGCCGACCAGCTTTCTCCAACCCACTCTGTCCTGGGCCTTCTTTTCTAGTTCTTTCCAGTTCTTGTTCATTCTTCTCATGTCTGTCTCTATTTCTCGGCGTAATGTGTTCTTTGGTCTTCCTCTTCTCCTTCGACCTTCAGAATTCCATGTGAGGGCTTGTCTTGTGACACAATTGGGTGATTTCCTCAAAGTGTGCCCAATCCACTTCCAGCGCTTCTTCCTGATTTCTTCCTCCGCTGGAATCTGGTTTGTTGTCTCCCACAGTAACTTGTTGCTGATAGTGTCTGGCCATCGGATCCGAAGTATCTTGCGTAGACAGCTGTTAATAAACACTTGTATCTTCTGGATAATGGCTTTCGTAGTTCTCCACGTCTCTGCCCCATACAGAAGAACTGTCTTGACATTTGTATTGAAAATTCTAACCTTGGTGTTGGTTGACAATTGTTTTGAGCTCCAGATGTTTTTCAGCTGTAGGTATGCTGCTCTTGCTTTGCCGATCCTCGCCCTCACATCTGCATCTGATCCACCGTGTTCATCAATGATGCTGCCCAGATATGTAAAGATTTCCACATCCTCCAAAGCTTCTCCGTCAAGTGTAATTGGATTGGTGCATATTGTATTATATCGGAGAGTCTTGCTTTTCCGTTTGTTTATATTGAGACCTACTGCTGCTGAGGCTGCTGCTACACTGGTCGTTTTCTCCTGCATTTGTTGTTGCGTTTGTGATAGAAGAGCCAGATCATCCGCGAAGTCTAAATCGTCAAGCTGCATCCTGCCTGTCCACTGTATCCCGTTCATTCCTCCAGATGTTGACGTCTTCATAATCCAGTCGATCACCAGGAGAAAGAGAAAGGGTGAGAGTAGGCAACCTTGCCTAACACCGGTCTTTACCTCGAACGAGTCGGTGAGTTGTCCTCCGTGGACGATTTGGCAGTTTAGTCCATCATAGGAGTTCCGTATGATATTTACTATCTTCTCAGGCACACCGTAGTGTCGAAGAAGCTTCCACAGTGTCGTCCTGTCCACGCTATCAAATGCCTTCTCGTAGTCGATGAAGTTGATGTACAGTGATGAATTCCATTCGATTGATTGTTCCACAATGATACGTAGAGTTGCGATTTGATCTGTGCACGATCTATCCTTACGAAATCCAGCTTGTTGATCTCGAAGTTGAGCGTCCACGGAATCCTTCATCCTGTTTAACAATACTCTGTTGAAGACTTTTCCTGGTATTGAGAGGAGAGTGATGCCTCTGTAGTTGTCGCACTTGCTCAGATCGCCTTTCTTTGGTATCTTGATGAGAAGTCCTTCTTTCCAGTCTGTTGGTACATGTTCTTCGTCCCAAATCTTACCGAAGAGGATGTGGAGTATCTTGGCAGTTGCTGTTACATTTGCTTTCAGTGCCTCTGCCGGGATGTTGTCTGGTCCCGCTGCTTTGTCACTCTTGATTTGTCTAATGGCCATGCTGATCTCTTCAATTGTTGGTGGGCCAATATCGATTGGGAGGTCTGTGGGTGCTGCTTCGATGTTGGGTGGGTTCAGTGGAGCTGGTCGATTCAAGAGTTCTTTGAAGTGTTCTACCCACCTGTTTCGTTGTTCTTCAATATCGTTGATTACTTTGCCTTCCTTGTTTTTCACTGGTCTTTCTGGTTGACGGTAATTTCCAGCAAGTTTCTTTGTTGTATCATACAGTTGTCTCATGTTTCCCTCTCTTGCAGCCTTTTCCGCTGTCATCGCTAAATCTTCCACATATTTACGTTTGTCGGTCCTGATGCTCCTCTTCACTTGCTTGTTTGCCTCTGTGTATTCGGCTTGTGCCTTGGCTTTTTCTGCTCTGGTTCGGCTGATATTGATTGCTACCTTCTTGTTCCTCCTTGCTTCAATTTTATCCAGTGTACCAACAGTGATCCATTCCTTGTGATGGTGCTTCTTTTGGCCCAGAACCTCCTGACATGTTGAAACGATTGCCTCCTTGATACCTTTCCAGCTGCTCTCTATGGTGGTTCCCTCTTCATTGAGTAGGTTATGAAAGGCCTGGAACCTGTTGCTGAGGGCTATGTTAAATTCGTTGAGTTTGTCAGCATCTCGAAGAAAGGCCGTGTTAAACTTTTGTGATGTTGTCCGCGCCATTGTCCAGTGCTTCTTGAGTTTTAGTTTGATCTTGGCGACCAGCAAATGGTGATCGGATGCTATATCAGCTCCTCTTCTGGTTCTCACATCCTCCATCGTCCTCCTGAACTTTTTGTTGATGCAGATATGGTCGATTTGATTCTGTGTAGTGTGATCCGGTGAAATCCAAGTGGCTTTGTGTATGTTTTTGTGTGGGAATATGGTGCCACCTATGGCCAGTTTATTGAAGGCACATAGGTTTGCAAATCTCTCACCGTTTTCGTTCCTTTCTCCCAGTCCATGTTGTCCCATGACGTCTTCGTATCCAGTGTTGTCCTTTCCAACCTTGGCATTGAAATCTCCCATTAGAATGGTCAGGTCCTTGGTTGGGCACTTCTCGAAGATTGACTGCAGCCTATCGTAGAATTGGTTTTTAGCGTCTTCATCGTAGTCGTTGGTCGGCGCATAGCATTGGATGATGTTCATTGTAATGCCCTCTCTCTTTGTTCTGAAGGAGGCTTTGATGATCCTTGGTCCATGAGATTCCCATCCTATAAGTGCATTTTGTGCTTTTCTAGACAGCATCAGTGCCACTCCTTGTGTATGTGGGGCATTTTCTTCTTCATGACCGGAGTATAACAGAAGTTCCCCTGAAGACAGTCGTTGTTGTCCAACCTGCGTCCAATGTGTTTCACTGATTCCAAGCACTTCCAGGTTGTATTTCCTCATTTCCGCAGAAATTTGGAAGACTCTGCCGGTCTCCCACATTGTCCGGACATTCCATGTACCTATAAAAATTGTCGCTCTGGTTGTAAGAAGGTGCATCGGCCTCATGACTTCCGAAGGAACTCGGCTTTCATCATGAGACGTCATTTTTCCTTCTACTCCCAGGGCAGAGTTTGAATGGTTTGAATGATTTTTTCTGGTTAGCGTTTTTTTAGCGAGTTGATTTTCTACGGGATGGGGTCGCTAACCCCATGCCCAACCCTCCTCCTTTACCCGGGCTTGGGACCGGCAGTAGCCCCTAGAGGAGCTACAGGCGGAGTTCACAAGATCAAACACTGGATCCTAAAGACTAACTGTGTTCCAAGTAACTTAGTTTGCTGGGAGCTAGTTTGTATCACTGGACTTCATAAAAAAAGAGTGTAGCTCATAATCAACTACCGGATTCATTAGTTAGTAAATTAGTTGCAATAATAAATTTGTATGCTTCATTATAGTTTCTATGCCTTGATAAATTTCTTTTAAATACAAAATAAATCAATATTTGGCACGTTTTGATTTTCACTTTAGATATCAACTTCGACGATTCTGTATTAGAAACAAACGAATCTGCAATATCATCAGCAAATTCTCTTCCATCATCTAAATTATCATTCATACATCCACTAGTAGTTGGAGAAAATGAGAAAATCCCTTTAAATTCAGTTGTACTTCCTGTTCCTGGTTACGCTATACATTATCCAAAAAATCATAGTAAATGAGGTTTTTTATTTATTTTTTATATTATACAACTCAGCGTTTACATATCTGCTTGAACATTAAATTTAGTATTTTATGTCAAAGCTAATACACGATTCTAGTACGTGTTACACCGGGAATAAACCACCTACAAAATTTGAGTCCCCTTGATGCATATATCCTTAAAACACAAAGTTCTTGTCCTTTGTTGGAGAACAATAGAGATGTTTGAGCTTGTTACCTGACATTAATATACTGTCATTGTAGTTAGCAGTTAAATCCAAGACGCACGTCCCGTCCTATTTAGGACTAGCTATTTTGATGTACCTGTTAATACTAAAACCCAAGCTATGTGACGGACTTTCGGTATGCTGACCCGTTCTTTAAGCTACTGAATTCAAACAGACACTAACTTGTTAAACGAGTATGATCTTTATTCGTAAGGGTTTTCGTATTCAGCATAACTGTCATGTTAAAAATAAGTGATACTACGTTACAAGACCTTTGAGTAGCATCAGTGCTGACTGTTCGGGAGAAACATAATAGGGCATGATCAATATATGACAGACAGTCATAGTGATAGGAACATTTCACCGAGTTCTATAAGTCGAGTTGCTGTCTTTTTGATCTATCTTTGGTGATCGATTTATTCCTTTATTTCAGCGTGTTATTATCTGAGCTTCAATGTCGATTAATGGGCTAAGTGAGGAAGAATTATCTGAAAAGTTCCTTGTTTCAATAACTCATTTTAAAGTAATATATCCATCAGGCTCGTGACTAATATAAAAAATAACATATTTTATACTTACCTACTCAATCGACAACTTCCTCTGAACATGTGATAGCGAACCCAATACCCTTCTCTTGATCCGAACAGTTTTCAGACTTTTACAAAAGCTTAATTTTGCCTTTGTACTCCTGTCAACACTGGGAATACATAAAGTAATTTAACTAAAGCCTTTACTGCTTTTTTATACAAGTACAAAGTCCCCAAAATCGTCGTACAATTATTATTTGCTTATCCTCAATAATTGATTTAGGCGCCGATTGGTATGCCAAATTACTAAAAGAAGGTTGTTTGACAGTCAAAGATTTCAGTCATTCAGTTAAGTAAGTTGAATTCTCTAATATTTATTTGTGTAATCCTTATTTTTGTATATTTTTTTTTTACACTAGATCTTAAGAAAAATAACAATCAGTGAGATGTTCTCACAATCACAACTAATTGATCACTGGGTGGTGATTAACGTCATGTGTGTCAAGTCCTTCTTAGTGCTGATCGAATGCTATCGATCAAGTTGCAATATGGCCACTAGTCTAGGTGGCTCGACACTTCGTGCACTATATATATTGAAATAAGATGGTGGTTGCAGGTGGTCAACACGAAACCCTGGATCCGGGTTTCGTGCAACTTGATCGATAGCATTCGATCAGCACTAAGAAGGACTTGACACGCATGACATTGATCACCACCCTGTGATCAATTAATTGTGATTACATCTCAGTCCTACAAGAGGTCGGTCGCGGCCCGAATAGCTCTGTGGTAACGTCTCTGACTGTGAAGCTGAGTGACACGGGATCGAATCCGTCAGGGAGCACCAGTTCCCTCAAGATTACGGGCACGTCTTGCTGACGGGTGCTAAGTAGCACGAAACCCGGGTTCAGGGTTTCCTGTTGACCACCTCCAACCACCATCTTATGTTCCCACAATAACAGACCCTTTTCCAATTTCGTATAACCCTTTTTAAAAGTCATTGTATTTGTATTCGTAAGTTCCACAGATTAAATCTTCGAACTAGACGATTGAATGATAACATATAATGAGGATTAGACACACTGACTATTCGTGAAACAAAGTAGCAAATATCGTACCTATATGAATCAAAAGTTTTCTACCCATTCGGCTGCAGAAACTATTGTACTCACCTATCGCTTATGAGATAGATGAATCCTAATGTCATCGTCTCTAATTTCCTCAATGTGTAAACAAGGGGGGAAATGTTAGTAACTGTGGTGTCTTCGTTTTTCTCTTTTTCCAGCATGGCACTAAGCTGTAAATTTTTTATACCATTCATAATTATTCAGTTAAAGCAAGACAGGTTTGTTGAGCTTGAAGTTTGATCCCCATAATGATTTGCGATTTATTAGCAATGACCGCTCCATCCATCAAGTTTTTTTTTGATTCTATCTCAATGCACATTTAGAATCTGAATTTTAGCGAAATTTCATTGTTGTTGTAGAGACTTTGCACTCCCTGGTTCTTATCGGAAATTAATTGTTGTCCCAGAAAATGTAAAATATGAATTTCATGAATATTCAAACCCTGATACACCTCTAGTGAAGTCTGATCTTCAGATACTAAATGGTACAATTACAAATAATATTTTAACTTCTGCTTCACAAAATGAGACACAAAATACTGATATCTGCTTAGATAAAGGTAATTAAACCGATTTTCTTTTAATACTTTCATTCGTATACATTTTGTCAATATATCATGGTAAATGAAATGTACGCTTAATAATTTAAGATAGTATGTCTTTCTATGCTGACATGTTTGTTTCACCGTTAAACTTGAGTCATATTGAGCATAACCGTATTAACGATGCAATTTGTTCGTGTGGCTCCAACTTAATAATTTAAATGTGTTTACTAACGAAGTATTTCGTTCATGGACAAAAACAAATATTTGATATACGAGTTGTGACGTACTTATCCAGTGTCTTTCCATTCCTAGCTGAATTTTTAAAACACAGTATAACATCTATAACTGATTTACAGTTATACAACTTTAATGGCTTCAAATCCTTCGCCTCATTGTGTTTTAGACACCAAGTTGGTGGTACCACTAGTCCTCATTCAATAGATATCGCTCATCTAAAAACTAATTCGCAGACTGTATAATGCTACATTTTAAGAGGGTGAAAATTTGTGTAGTATTTCTCCTGGTTGTATAATATCCTCTCCAACAGCAAGTTATTACGGTATTTAAGAATTAAACTACTCCATTCAAGTTACAATAAAATATACCTTATCTCTACTATTCGCTAATTAATGTGTTTGTTAAGCAACTAGTTTTTAGTAAGATTATCCAAATAAGTTTAAAATAAAGGGTTCTTGTCATTGATATGTCTTGTGGGTTGAACGCTTATTCAGATCCTAAGCTATTCGGATAACCCCAGGACTAGCACTACTCAGCGACCTGAAGACCAGTAAGAAGACACGAGTAACGGAGAAGATGCTTTATTGCAAGGTTCAGTTTTGTACAGAAAAATCGTAAGTATTTATAGATGTTTGCTTAAGTTAAATCAACATCCTAATTTAGCCAATCCAATAAACAACATATACTGCTACTGACCAATGGTAGCATGCCACGTTGGAACTCCAGAATGTTCTGTCGTGCTCTGATTGGTTGGAGCTCTTTTTGAGCCTCTGTTGGAGTTCTCTGGAAACCGACTTAACAGTCATCAAGTGTGAAGTAACACAAAACAAACAATATCTGTCTCAGCTTGATAATGCTCCACATTATTCTAGTATGTCTGGAAACAAGCTTAGTCAGAATTCTTTAGATTTGCCATTAGCCATTTAAAAAGCCCGTGAAAATGCGAATGATTTACCGTTGGGCAAATTTCAAAAATCTGTTTCATATCCTAATTAGTAACGAAGATCTAAAAATCTAGCGTTCGGCAGTCTACTTATTCATAACTCCTACTCACGCCTAACATAAGCTGATACTACCCAAAGCAGTATCTAAGGACCACTGAAATTCTTGTAAAAAAAGGTCTCTTAAAGCTGTGTACAGGTTACTATTAATAACGTTTCTGTGGATATTTTATGTTAATCTATATATCTACGTAAAAGTTATGCCCTCACTGTATTCATGGATTTCTATTTATTTCAGATGAAAAACAACAGGCTGTCGTCCTGACGTTTAATTTACCGAAATCGAGTTACGCTACCATGGCAATACGCGAATTAACGAAAACTGTTATAGAAAAGAAATAGAAGTTTATGAAAATTCCTTTCTGAAACTTGATTTCCTAAACCGTATCCCATAAAATTATGTGTAAATTAACATGATCTATGTATATTCTTCTTTAAAAAATTATCCAAGTAGATTTTACCATTTTGAGTAGTCCCAAAAGTGGTTCCTGCAGGAGTCTGTTTAAAAGCAAACAAAATCAATCAGACATGGGTTATTAGTCTACTGAAGAAGAGTGGGAATCTTTCTATGAAACACACATCGGTTTTTCTCTGTCTTATTGAGATTTACGTAGCCCTTAGCTTATTGGTTTAACTATAGTTCTTCAAACTGAAGTCCTGAAAATAATGATGAAGGCTCACAAGATGAGTGTCGTGGTTCGAGAGACCTATGTTATATATATATATATATGTCTAGTAGTCGGCGAAACTCTCTCCATTTACTAAGTGATAAACGGATAACTCTCCTGTTCGTACACTAGCTTTGTACTAATTACGAGACTATTTATGAAAATCAGTCAGCAACAGCCTGTGGGAGAGAAAACAACTTCCAGCTGAATAGAAAATTAGTTAAAACGCTGGAGATGAGTAGGACATACATTGGGGAAATCGTAAAACTGCATCGCGATGCAAGCGCTTACCTGCAATCCTGAAGGAAAACGTAACAAAGGGAAGCCGAAAAACACATTACGTCGGGAATCGAAAGCGGACATCAAAACGATGAATAGCAACTAGAGATGATTTCCCAGGACAAATTTCGATGGAAAACACTGGTGAGCAACTTATGCTCTTCCACAAAGGGGCGGGTAGTGAAATTCTGAGAAGGCACAAAGTAGATATGCGCCCTAAAAACCCAAACCGAAGGTAGTCTTATTAGGGGCCCACTCCCCTAGCCTTCGACCTGAAGGTCCAATCCACAAGGCAGTGGATAAACATAAGGGAATGCAGTCATATGGTAATCGGTCACCAACAATTGGTTCATACGCCATTTGTCCCCTCAAAATCCTGGAGGCCATGTACACCATTGGTTTGGAGCCAGGATTTTCTAACTATCCTAGAAGGGTTCTCGGTATCCACCGACCCGGTTAAGGCACCGGACATTCACTTTCTTTCCTCTCAATCTTGTAAGCAACAGTAATGCCGCGAGAAGGCGGTAATACTTCCCTGGCAGTGGTTGTATGCACGCGGCCATATGAGAGCATTTCGAGAGGGAGGAGTGACTCCTCACCCTCGACCGTACCAGGGCATTCGAGGGAACCTGTGCAAAATTTGACTATTATCAAATATAAAGTACTAGGCGCTATGGCACAAGAATTTCTGCAGCATTCTTTGACTGTTGTGGTGCGAAATACAAGCTTATCTTTTGGGTAGTGACACTTCGCCGAGTCAACCTTTGTTGTTATGTGGGTATTGCGTTAATGGTTAAACGACGCAGCTCAGAAAACACACGCCATCAAAAGCTAGTCTGCAAATCAAATATGTAGTCGCGGTGTTTTTCAGTCTCAAGATATGTTTCTGTAACGTTTTGCTTTGACAGTCACCTTACAATTACTATCAGGAAGAATTTTGTAGAACTGTCAAATTTATCTGATTTTGCGTCAAATTGTTGCATTACTTTCGACTAATGAGTACATTCCAATCAGTTCGCGCCTTACATCGCACGGTGTATGAAATTTGACATACTTTTTAGCCCAAATTTGGCCTATTCGACGACTTATCATAACAAACACAACCATATATATAAACCAGGTTTTCCATGGTGGTCTAGCTGAGTCTAACTGACACTTGATTTCAACTACAAAAATATATATAAATGCTTATAAAAGCCTGCTTTGGTCCGGGCAGTATCATAGCCCTCACACGATTGTGTGGCGCATATATATCTGGCGCCCCCTTATGTTCAAACAAATAAAATAAATAGTTTTGTAAAAAAACAAAAATTAATTTTTTATAAACAACTATACAGTGTTTTATTTAGTCAGGTTTAAAAGTACTTGATATCTGTTAGGTACACTAACATGTTACATTTGCAGATCAAGGTTTTCCCGATGTATGGAGGTCTTTAATTCGTCCATTTGAAATTCTTTGATACCCGCTATTAACTAGTGCTTCTTTATAACTTCCTCTTGTGAAACCACTAAGATCACGACGAAACGCTGAATCAGCTAGAATATCTAATCTTCCATCTGTTCCACCTAAAGGACATTGTGATGATATTTCTGAACCTTGAGCCCAGACGTTGATTCCATCCGTTCCAATCTGTTTTCTCTTCATTTTTAGAACCAGGCATTTGTACCGAACAGCCAAAATTAATGTACTTGTGATGAAAACGACGATAATTAGCCCAGAACATACTACATGAATAAGAAATTTAAACGTAAAACACGAACCATTATGACTGAGTTGTTGTTGTAAAAGAATTTATGCATTACAGTTCATAGCAAAGATCTAACATTCAACAAGTATATGCTGGTATTAAGCTTACTTACCTGCTGTGATATAGAATAAAAGTTTTTTTAGGCATATATGGTCTTGTCTGAATTCAGCTTTTTGCTTCAAATCAAGAATCCATTTTGGCAATGGACCAAACCATTTATCATCCGCAAAATTACACATATGTGGGTACGAATCATCATCGTAATTTGTCACGCTGCTACTGTCTACTTCGGATTTACATACAAGTAGGTTAGCATGGGTTAGACAACTTTTTACTGCAGATGATTCGGCTAGATGTAACTGAAAAAATAAAAGGTTAACAAGTTACTCAATCTCCTCGAATTATAATCATTATATAATTTAAATATATGTAACAAATATGGTTGCTATACTTCGGATTTACATACAAGTAGGTTAGCATGGGTTAGACAACATTTTACTGCAGATGATTCGGCTAGATGTAACTGAAAAAATAAAGGGTTAACAAGTTACTCAATCTCCTCGAATTATAATCATTATATAATTTAAATATATGTAACAAATATGGTTGCTATTAAACAGACCAGATAGTTGCCTATATTCCACAAAAAATCCACCGCATATTCTTCATAAATTTCGTTTATGATACTAATCCTGGTTGAAGAGACGTACCAATATATTTTTCGACATCTTCGAACAAAACTGTCTTACGAAAGTATGTCATTATGAACTGTTTCAGTAGCTTCGTGCAAATAAATGACAGTAAAAAGCATTCCAGATACGTTTTTTCACATTCAGTATAATCGCCTTGTGGTGATCCAGCTCTAGTGGTTAGATTGACTGAGGTATTAGCTACAGCTTGGAAATAAAATGCGATTTCATGACCAGGTTAAATCGCTGATCGTTCCAGATTACAAGGGAGAAAATCCTCTTATGGCAACCACAGAGGAATCAGTTTGACTGCTTCAATGTCTAAATTACCAACCTCACTAATTATCCGACGCTTAATTAGGGATTGCGATGAGTTAGCTCGAGAAAACCAGATCAGTACATAAGTGTGTAGACCGCATATTCGCATTTTATCAGCTTATAGTCGTTCCTGGCCTTGAGGAAGCATTCGATGGATGGACAAGTTTCATGCCAATGTCTGTTGATGAAAGGCATATAAACAATTACATTAACTTTGTATGGGCTTTTTACTCGAACATGACCGGTCGAGTCAGAGCTTATGTTGAACTGTCACAGGAATTGATGACTTCAAATGATGTTTATTAGGGTTTTCCGCTTCCGTTTTTATTTAACTTTGTTGTTGACATACGCTTAGAGATAACGCTTTCATCGTCTGATTTATCCAGAATCGACCTTCTACTAGGATATTCTCTTGTTTATTTGAAATGCATCGATGATAGTCCTGTTGGACTGCTTAAAACAATACGATAATGTTTGGGATGTGTTTATCTCCATTGGAATACAAAATGTTAACTCAGAACTAACCCGCATCAACCCTTGAATTAATTATACGGTATGAAGTAAAGTGCGTAGACCGCTTTACTTTGGAAATTTCGTTAACTTCGGAAGGTTGGTTGTTTGACAAAATTTCGACGCGGACCTGGCACATCCGGTTGGTCATTAACAAACTACATTTCTTTTAGTGTGAACAAGATATCCGCCTCTCACCCACAGGACAACTATAGTGCGCAGCATTTTGCTTTGTTCTAACCAATAAGTGCAAAGCATAGTCATTAAGAATAGAGGGCATTCGTAAGTCCCTAGTATCCAACCACAAATGCATCGAAGCATTCCTTGTGCGTGTCGGGACCAGTGAGTGCCCCAGTGCTGAGCTTAACAATAGAGTACTAGGTAGGCATGGCAAGTCGACGAGTGATGTAGTGAATTTTAATCGGAAAAAGTAGTTGAGATCTATATTAAGTACATCTAGTTACTGATTGCCTCGATGTGCGATGATAGATGGTGTAGGAGTAAGTTGTAAGAAAGTTAGGGGACTAAATAGAAAGGTAGTATCAATCCGTAAATTAGTAGCAGTTATGCCAATCTGTACTGGTTTACCAATGGCTGGAGAAGATGGGAAATATACATTGGGAGTCCCGTTGTCAGAATCAATTCTTAACGAGTGAAAACGGATTATAATAAGAATAACATGATACGTCTCGAGGTAATGAAAAAGTGCGCTGCACCTTTAATATAACAAACTACTAGACTTCAAGTGTGCTAAATTCACTACGCATGAGGACATTCTTAGTACTAGTTATAAGAAAACAAGATTATGATTTACCTGGGATCCCGGAACCTTCTCAATTGTCAGGCACATTCTCTCGCCACTTTCGATATTAGGATAGTCCATTGTAGCTTCTAGAACATCTCCAAGATAAAAGACGACACCACTGTGCGTTTTATTCTCAAATGTATTACTTATTGATGAAATAATATCATCCGACTGTAATGTCTTGTAGAAATAACGCATATCATTAACTTTAGGAAGCAGGCTATTTAAATAAGAGCACTTGTCAGCTGCCTGAACCCAGCTGCGAATTGTTACATTCCTGTACCATGTAAAGTTGACTCTCCTTCCGTGTAATCCAACCCGTTCTACGCGATAACCTTCCGGTTGTTCAGTTCGTAGTAGGCTTTCAGTAAGAAGTAAATGAAATGAGTATATAACAATTAGTGATGCTTGAGTTATTTTCATCATGACACGAGTGATGTACAGATATGAATCTATGAAACTGAGACAAGAAAATGTTAATAAAACTATAACGAAATTGACACAGTACAAATAAACATTAAAGAAAATTTGATTGGTTGGTTATAAGTATGCAATAATTATATATTCGTATTTATAAATTAAAATGCTAAATTATGTTAATTAGCATAAAACAAGCAATATGACAAACCTATTATTGTAGAGGACATTATGTGCTTAGTGAGTAACCATGAAATTTGACTGTGTTGGTTTGACAAACAAATAGTAAAAACGTATTTTGTGCATCAAGTATCAGGGTTGAGATAGAACATCACAATGATAATGTTATACACGATAACTTACTTAACTAAATTTATTGATTTGGTCAGCAAAAAATAGGCGCTAACAATTTTTAAGATGTGATCTTCGATCACAAGAACTAGTCTATTTTTGCAATAATAGACGTATATTTACAGCATAAAGCAGCAACGTTAGATAAATGCACAAAAGTTAAAGATTAAATGACAGTTCAGTCATAATTGTACTAGGCAAGCAAAACGTTTCCGAGAAACCCTCAAGTTAGTTACTTTGATTACGGTTCAATCAGTTCCGAAACGTTTAAAAACTTGCTAGACCCTCCAGCGAAACACTACAAAAAAATATCTAGGCGAAAGCTACATTGAAAATAATTTCTAAAGATTTTCTATATACAATGCAGTGTTCGTTGATCAAAAAGTGGAAAGAATTCGATATTATTCGAAAGGAACATAAGACTTTCCATAGCTTTTCTGTAAAAACGGCAATAATTCGATATCACAACCAACTTATAACCTTACCATATTGGTAGAAAAGAGAAGGATTATTTCATTTATTTATTTAAACACGTAAACATTGGTACAAGGAGGCACTAAATACATATGCGCCACATAAACCATTAGACTTGTGTGAGGGTGGGATACTGCTCGGATACCCAAACTGAAGAATGTGGTCTTATTTGGGGCCCACTCCCCTAGCCTTCGACCTGAAGGTCCAATCCACAAGGCAGTGGATAAACATAAGGGGATGCAGTCATATGGTAATCGGTCACCAACAATTGGTTCATACGCCATTTGTCCCCTCAAAATCCTGGAGGCCATGTACACCATTGGTTTGGAGCCAGGATTTTCTAACTATCCTAGAAGAGTTCTCGGTATCCACCGACCCGGTTAAGGCACCGGACATTCACTTTCTTTCCTCTCAATCTTGTAAGCAACAGTAATGCCGCGAGAAGGCGGTAATACTTCCCTGGCAGTGGTTGTATGCACGCGGCCATATGAGAGCATTTCGAGAGGGAGAAGTGACTCCTCACTCTCGACCATACCAGAGCATTCGGGGGCCAAAACGATTGTTATGTTCTATGATAATCATTATTGAGAATAGTACTAAGAGCTATTTACGAAATGTAAAAGTTATCTGAACACTAAGAAAAGCTTACATACGGATAGTTATCGCGTGTAACAAAAACCAGACAAGTAATCACTAAAAAATATGACCGGATAATTATCAGCTTTAGGCACCACTGAGCATGAAAGTGAATGGTAATTTCTGGTATCCTGAGTAGAATTAAAGGGTATCATCATGATGACAATGCAAATGTTAACATAGAGAATCATCTCAAATACTCATAGATGTAGCATGTACCCTTGTATTACTTGAGGGAAAATCCTGTAACCTGAACGTACACCCCCAACATTTCCAATTTTCGCTTTACCATTCATTAGGCAGAAACGATCAAATATGACACCACATTATTTATCATTTTACTGGTCTAAGTTTGTCAATTCGTATGGGATGTATGAAAAACATTATGTTCAGAGAACTTGAATGTTATAATCCTGAAAACCATTGTTATACTGCTTTGAAAATATGCGATTGTATTTTGGCTACAACCAATGATCAGGACCCCCTAGAACGATTTCATATTTCAATCCTAAACGAAGGAGGTAGATATATGGTCTGACCAAACAATATTAATAATAGCAGGTCAGTCATTTAAAAAATAAACTTTCTGCACACATGTTTTTAAAATCTTACTGAATACAAATTGTTTTTTAAATGAATATTGTTTAACGTCAAAACTTGAAGTTTTGATTATACTTCACCCTCTTTTGATCCTTATATGTTTCTTTTGAAGTTATCATGTTTAGGATCTATGATTCTCTTTATTAGGGAGTACCCGCTAGTAATAATTTTTAAGCACCATCAGTATGCTCCCGACAAATACGAGTATTACTATGACATTCTCTGCATTCATGATAAACAGACCTATTGAACATTTGCGCGGTGATTGATACTAGGTAAGAACCAATAATTTAGTAAGAATTTGACCCTAATTTTCGGTCAGCTAGATAAGTAACAGGACAAACATTTAGTCAGTGTCATAGAACTACTGAAAACGACCAAGAATAATCGGAATGCTCTTTCTTGAGTAATGGTCAGAATTAACTGAGCCTAGCACAAATGTGCGTTAGCTCAAGCCGTTATGAAGAGATGAAATTAATAGAGGTATTAACTATCATATTATCAATTACAGGTAGTCTGTACCTACCAATACTCAGTCCAACAGTCTATGACTACATAGACCAATGCGAGTCTTGGGTTCTTAGCTCAGTTTTCTCCTAACGGATCCCTACTCTAGACGTTGGGCACCGTAGTAGGGGGTAGTTTGGGATACGTAGCACACTTCTCACGCGCCTCAGTCTCAACAACCGATCTGTCATGTTATCTAGGACCCTACACTAAACCTCTAGATTGCTTCACTATGCGCAAGCAATGCTCCGGAGATGCTTAAAGAAGTCAAGTGAGCTTCCTAAATTCTTGTCGCAATCTCAATAGACACTATCACATCTAGGTTGACACATTTAACCACCTTGACCGTTATCATTAATCTCGATGTAGACGAAGACCAGTCCTCAAGCAAGCTTGTGTTTAGAGGGAGAGCAGCAACATCCCAAACAAGCTTAGCACAGTTGTTCAAGATCACAAGACAGTATTTGGTCACCAACTCCATCGAACAGAATTATGCTTTTGGGTATTCCGAGATAGTAAAATGAACTTGTAAATGTATATCTGTAACGAATTTAAGTAAAAATAAAGTAGGTATTCTTGACTAACAGCATTAGAGGATGACAACATTGATGAAAGTTGCCCAAAAATTCCTACACAGAATGTTTACGTACTTCGTGATGCACCACTTGATAACAAGCACTGCCATGAGACCCCTCGATCGACTTAGTCGAAATCTACATTACACCCCGAAATCGAAACTGAGCATTCATTATATATATATATATATATATATATATATATATATATATATATATAATGAAATTCCAAGCGAAAAATCCATTCAACTATCATACAGCTGATATTTCGTAAGGCCACAATTGATCTTAATTCAAGCTAAATTTTAATTGAAAAGAATATTCAATTATGTTCAGAAACATCGACCAAAATAGTAAAATGACTACTCCTAGTGGTAATTACGTTAGTCATACTTTACGTTTTCCCGAGATGAACAAACAAGAACAAATAGTTTTCCATGATACTCATAAGTCTTTCAAATAAAAATACATTCGAAGATGACAAATGATCTTGACTTTAAGAATTCCAAAAAGTTGAAGATACACCAGTTGTCGTATTGACAGTTTCTGCTTGTGCACATCGTTAAGATGTACAGTCCAATCAACATTGTCGCATAAAACCATAACACTAATAATTATATGTTAAAACAATCTTGACGTACATATTTCAAGATCAAAAAGCTAAATAGCGGCTGCGAAAGCAGAGAATGAAAACGTGAAACCAAAAGAACATGTCAGACTAGTTAAATACAGCGAAAAAAATGACCACCACGAAGATGCGTCCGCAAAATGGAATGTATTCTGAAAAGCTAAACAAACAATCACAGACGATTAATTATCATTGCCAAATAAAGATTATATTTGCAAGTTGTGAACAGAAGTAGAGTTGCGTTAATTAAGCGGTAAACCGTAATTTCTTAGCAGTAGATAGTATAAGAGAATCTGTACTAAGTGTATGAAAACTAAGTGGCATACCATACAAGCGAGATACTAATTTTATCTGAAGATAATACAATCGTTATCTTCAAATCTGTACAGATAGCATATTCAGATCTTTATCAAAAACCTTGTACTATTGTGCCGGAACGAGATATTAAAAACAATGGAAAACAAACATTGAAATCATAAACCGATCAATGTTAGACCATCATTGAAAACCTGGGAGCATTAGACGACTATTTCGCCCTAGTATGAAGCTTCTTAACAGTGCAAATCCACGACCCCACACAGGATCCGAACCTAAGACCTTCGGTCTCGTGGGAGTACTTAACCTCTAGACCAATAAGCCAGCATTCAACGGTTTTGATGTTCAGCTTCAACCAAAAACACCAAAGTGAAAACAGTTCGGTATTATGCCAAATGAAAAGAATATACATAAACGTCCGGTATTTTCAGTATTGATATTATTTCAGACTAAAGAAAACACAACTGTTGAATATCGCATTACATTTCACGATAATGAAGGACATTAGCCCAGAAAATAGTACAACTAAAAAGCAGATAAGCATAAATGATATACCAAAAAAAGTAAGATATTTATATTTCATTTTTACCAAATAGCCTTACATAACACTTAGCAATGAAAAAAGTACTTCAGACCTATGCATAAACAAAATGGATAATAACAGAAAATTCTGAACCCAAAACAAGAAATAATGT